CGGTCTACGTGCAACTTACAATCCCAAAAATAACATTAGACCCTAACTCAAATTCAGGCATTTAAGTTTAGAAGTTGACTAGAATAATTGCATCCGAAAACACAGTGAAATTACCAGTATTCGTTATGAGCGTTGTTAATCCAACAAATGTCTTCAGTACTCCTGTAACACTTGGTCATCATTGATTGTACAAGTAACAATGTTAAACATATAATTGTGAGGCTCTCATGAAGAACCTGTTGGAAGGAAATATTTGTTTGCTTGACTTGCCCTTTCGATTTAAAATGTTTTAAATTCTTTGTAATGTCAGTGATAATACTGTAAGCATACACCGATTTTCTCCATTAATTACTGAGAAATTCGTAGAATTATGGTCTACTTCGTTATTGGTACTACTCTAATAACAGACGAAATCCTAAAATTGTAGACTTGTCAAGATATAACTGCCTAATCTATAAGATCTTACGTGGAAGTCATACCATCGTCTACACCAACTCATAGTATCGTAACAATCACCATTACATGGTGTAGAACAAGGTTAGGCTAGAGATAGAACAATATATTTAATATGAATAAAAGATATAAGATAACATTCAACAGAGACCACGCCTGTGAGGCCGAGCCATGCCATTCGATCAACTCCAATTGATTCGATTCATTCTCCCGCCCTCTTCATCGTTGGGTTTTTCTCCGCGGTAGATGTTGGATGTCTATTTCCCATATTGTCTCGCGTTAGGGTCCAATGCAACTACACTACTCTCCCGTCAGAATCGACGTGACGTTGGTTCGATACCAAATTGGACGGGATTGTCGCGCGCCAGAGGTTACCAAGACTAATAAGAATCCTCCGGGTATTGATAAACTGAAATATAAATCAGAAAGAACGCGAAAACATCTGGTTGGGAAATGCATGTAATAATTTTAAAATATCTGCTTTCCTGCTTAACACCCTTAAGATAAAATTTGGGTGAAGACTATTCGGGCTATAAAAAATGGGATTATAATAATAATAAAACGTAAGATGCGTGTTAATAGCCGTTGGTTTATAACTTAACTTATAGGTAGTAAGTATTTTCTGTTTATAAATATTGAAAGCAATCAATATTGTAGAAACGTTAATATTTGTTATTAGTTTTGATCTAAATTATGAAATCAAATAAAGATTATGACGGTAAGTTGTCCCTATGAGTTGCCTGCCAATTGCATCTGTATTAATAGGCTAACTGAAAGAACAAGTATTACCGTGGAGAAGAACTCCAACCAATGTTCCAGTTAGTTTGATACGGTTTACTTAGTTACGGGGAGATTTTCTCAACCTCATTTTTACTTGACCGTGGTAGAATTTAGTAGTACTACTAATACACACGAGTGGTTATAAAAAAAAATAAATACGTGAGTGATAATTATGTGAATTTCGGACAGATAGCTAAGAACAAATCGCTAAACATGAGTGTATTCTTAAGAGACATGCTCTAGACTCAATGTTCCGAGTTGCCACAGACTATTTATTTATTTTCATACCTACCGGCTGATGGTGCATAGAAGTTAGTTGCAAGTATGCAGTTTAGTTATAGTGATTATAAGTTGTTGAAATCAGCTGAACCTATGTGCCACAATTATAGGTGATATGGTGGTGAAAGATGTCTTCGGCCAAATAAGTCTTTACAAGATGATGAACTGTGAGTGGTGCTCATGTGATTATCAGGGAGAACATAAGTTGTGACCAAGGGGAGTACACTCCCAACTCATCTCTAAGATAATGGCTTGAAACTTAGTCAGTGTTGGGGTAAATTCGGCAGTAATGCTTTCAGTTTTTAGGAGATTTGTTCGACTGCTTATATCGATGAGTTGCATGCATGATTGTGTCGCTAAACCTCCAATTTCACTGACAAAGACTTAAGATACTCATTGAATGAGCAACTGATAGAGAAACATAATGAAAATAATCTGTAATGGATGAAGGTAATGATAAAACAACACTGTTCACTGATAATTATAAGTCAATTTGTTGACCGATTTTGTTAATAGTTTCATCAATTTTATCAATCATATAACGTGATTGTCAAGTCATGACAATGTTTATGATGATATCCTGAAACCATTATGTCTAACTAGTCATATGTTGACTAAGGAGTATCCAGTTGAAAATAAGTGTTGTTGTTTTGTGTGCTTCTGAAATAGCATGATTCTGTAACGTTAAAGAATCTGGGCTGCCTAATTATATAGTAAACTTTAGTCCAAATATACTCGTTTAGTGTTAATTTTAGTAGTAGGTTCCGGAGTTCTAATTTTAAATCTTTGTTTAGCCAGAGAGTTTAGTTATTATGCTAGTGTAGTATGAAATTACCTACATGTAAATATAGTGCAACGCATCTACGGGCCAGGTTAACATGCAGATTATTGAGGTATCTGACAAATTAAAAATAATAAACATGGCCAAAATGTTACGGGAGAACTGTAGACATTTATTGTACATCAATAGTATTAATGTGTTTTTGGATGTATTTGTTTTACTTAACCCTTGAACTTGTTTGTTTATATCATTCTTTTCGGACATTTTGATTTCTCTTTGTCACTGGTTTGGTATTTGAAGTTTTTGCTCCGGGGACCTACAAAATTAAAGAACGTCATTTGAGTCGACTATTTGTAAATACCGAATAAACTTTGGTTTCTAAATTGGAATTAGGTTCTATTGTTAATTTGGGTTCGTGAATTGCAAATAGATCGACATACCGTACTTTAATAAAGAGAACGATCAAAAACTTGAACGTGACACAAAATGAAAAAAATATTTTTGAAGTTCAGATCACACATGAAAATTCAATTAGGAATATAATGAGTTATTAACATCTCATAAGCTGCTGTCGTTAACCTAGTGATATGTACAAATATATGGCAAAGGCAACTACAACTAAGAAATGTTTTTAAATAACACACTTTCTTAATAGTATGTGGTAAAATAAAAGTATTAAATATTTCTAACGAAAAGTCTTGGGAGTGGCTCGTTTTAATTATATACAACCAGACTAACGAAAAAAAATCTATGTAAGTTAAGAAGTACTAAAAACATAGTGAATTAACCAGGAAAATGAAAACATAAAACTCACCTAGGATATTTTCGATGATCAGATCATTTAAAAGACGATATATATAACGCCATTCATGAGGAGTGGTAATAACCAAAAGCATCCGTAATGAAACACGCATTATAGCAACGAATTCCAGGGTGGTTGGTGCGGTGACGTTTCCGTCACTCGCTCGAATCAGAACAATTAAATGAATCCACATAATTGTGTGGTTGTCATTGAACAAGCCATCTGAAATGATTTTATGATTGCAGAAAATCTATAGCTTACTCTCACCGTATGTTTTGGGAGTAGAGTCTTCGTTGCATGGCAATGGAACTCAAAAATTGGAAATTAGACAGGCAGTGGTCCGAAAAAAGATATGACGTGTTAGTGCAAAGTTTAAAACAGAATTATGCGTGAAGTGAAGAAACAATATGAAGAATTAGATCCAGATAATTCTTTAGTCCTTGCTTACGTTGCTAGTCAGTGAATATTTACGTTATTTACAGGTCGTATTTGCTAGAGCTTGATATTTAAGTAGGTCTGTTGCACTGATAGTTACTGAAAGAGTAGTTTCAAATAATTCCCTCTCCAACTTAAAAGAATAGGTATGGAGTTTCGTCGAATGGAAGGAGACTAGTAGTATTGCTTCAGCTACTATTTAAGTTATTAGGAAGCCTCGTGGATGAACAGATGAGGAAGTTTATTAACGAGAACAAAATCATCCATGTAGCATGACGTGACTTCAGCGGAAGCGAAACTCTTACCGCAAGCACCTTTCTATAGCGAAACAGTAGGCCAGATCTATAGAGCTTACAGCTCTCCATGGATGCACAATTCCTGAACTTCGCAAAAGCACATGACAGTGTGGCTCATACCGTCCTCTTAACTTTAACACAACAAATAAGTTTCGATGTTTATTCCCTTGCTGGGGAAAGGATTTTGTGCAAAAGCGGTCGTTTTACAAGAAAGTCAACTGAATTTATTCAAATCACAAAGCGTTAATATCCGGACAATTACAAGTAGCTTCACTTAATATCCACTGATCTGACGTTTATTAAGGTTATGTCAGGAAAATTCAGGTCATCAGTTCTCATCCATATGGACAGCAGCAAACTGCCAAACAGGAAGACGATTCGTGAGGGCTTCAAGCAGACTTATTTATGTCCTTAGAATGAAGACACAATAACGGTTTGAGTTAGACTTTGAAAATGCCAAACGACGCAATGTCGAGCTATGAAGGAGCACAAGTTGACGGCTGAGGACAAGTTCTTGGCTGATGCAACGGAAGCCTACATCATTCTTCTCCTCGTTGACTAAGCCTGACCTCATCTGACCTCTTCTCGACCCCATTTACGTTCTTTGTTCTCTCGCGCCTTGAAGAACAATATGTTGTTGGACTCTATTCAAATGGTTAAGAGGCCAATAACGCTCGCACTTTATTCATTATTATAATTTAATAATTGCGAGATTATCATTTATCGAAAACACCTTTCTCTCTAGCATCTCTGTTCAGCTTTTTCCCACTTGCTTGCTCTTTTACTTCTCAAAGCAGTGAGCAACATAGTTTAATAGCAGTAGACACTCTTTCATCTTTCTGTTTATACTCTAAAGTTTCCTACAGTCAGTGTAACAGAATGACTACTTTGAAGTGCGATAACTAGTGTTCGTGGAAATTTTCAGCTATGGAATACTAAAGATTCACCGACGTCTATCACTTTCTCTGGTCCTTGTACTTTGGAGTGAGTAGGCCGCTCACATTCAAGCAAATCAAAAGGTTCTGACACCTATTTGAAGCCAAGGAGAAACTTTACAGGGGTTAATTATTGTGTAGCGGATCAGCACAACAAATTGACTACTGAATAATACTTTACTTTGAAGGCACTTTGAAGGGCATAACCAAGTAAGATTTTTGAATATTCATTTGTAATCATGATAAGGAGGGATTCACACATGGGTTTACTTTTCAAAAGTGAGGTCAACATTTTCAAATTTTCACTTCTACAGTTGTTTTGATAGGGGATTCAGGAGTTGGAAAGACAAATTTGCGTTCGCGTTTCACAAATGATGAGTTTAATCTTGAAAGTAAAAGCACAATTGGTGTTGATTTCGCCACAAAGTAAATAGATGAAATTCAGAAATAATGATTCAAAGGAATGTCAAAGTTGATGGAAAAGTTGTTAAGGCTCAAATATGGGACACAGCTGGTCAGGAGAGATATCGGGCTATAACTTCTGCGTATGTAATTTTGATACAAATTTTAATGTGTTCAAATGTCTAAAGTATTTAAAATTAATGGGGCTTACTCACGATATTTGACAGCTACATTTAGCCAATCGTTTGCGAATTTTACGACACCGTGTCTGTGATTTAGTTCAGTATTTATGTTACAAACTAGTTTGGTTCAAATATGCATAGCCTAAAATTATCTTCATAAATTTGTTTACTTATGTATATGCATATACAGCACTATTTGTGGAGGTGCAGACAAACGAAGCCTTATAAGTTCAATGCTAAAACTAAGGATCTGGCCCTAGGGGATCCTTGTAACCATTCCGTTTTGATCATTGTGACTTCTCAAATGTAATCGTATATCTGGTGTTTTTTAATCAGGAGGTTTCCTGATTTTGTGGCAAATTTATGTTAAAGGAGTTTTCAAACTAGTAAATGTTACGCTACTGAGGCAAAATTCATTAATCTCTGTGGTAAATAAGTTTATATCTATTCCTTAAAATGAGAATCATTTTTATATTTTGTTTGCTCGTTAGTTGCATACAGATAAAAGTCATCAGTTTTTCATTTAAGACTCTTAAATATGTGACTCATAGGAGTGGTATTGTACTCAGTTGCGTTTTTACTCTATTTTGGCTTTAAGTGGTACAAAATATCTTCATAGTATAGACGATGAAAAGGCCATAATTGGATTTACTATCATATTTTAACATCGCTTGATAATACAGTCGTCTTCTTGAGTAACTTTCTAATGGTTGATAAAGTATATACCTCATATCCGTTACTTGACCACTAAAACGGATTATAATATTGCCTTAAATATAGATATAAAGCTTTCTTAAGGTATTAATGAACGCAAAGGACTGTTTACACTAAACCATCTAAAGTTGTACGTTAAATTTCTGCTGCTCATTGAAATTATTATGAATTAACACAACTATACGAGTATCGTAGATTAGCTTACACAATAGAAATTATTCTGATAAATATAATCTTAATGGCTCCTCCATTTCAATGGACTTTGGATGTCAAAAGTTATGACCTTTTAAACAATGTAATTGTTTCAAAAGTTTATGAACAATGTTTGTGTTGGTATTTATTATTTATTCTGTTAAAGGTTTATAAGTGAACTTAAGTTTCATCTGGTATCCAGTAACTACAAGAATTATTTGACATCACTGATTACTTGATACTTGAATATGTTGTTTTAAAGCCATCAAGAGAGATATTTATAAACTGCAGTTGATTCCTGACATAAGTTAATTTAGAACATTCATATCTGGATCATCCATAATGTAATTACTGCCAAAATATTAGTAGGTATACGATAACTTTAAGTTTTTGAACCAATCCGATATCTTTTTTATTTACTGTAAGTTAAACAATTGCACATAATTAGGTTATTTAAAAGACTAACTTCTCAGTAGAACTTGAAAATAATGAATGACTAAAATGTAAAAAAACACGCTTCTAGGACCTATCAAAGGCAAAAATTGCATGTGTTTTATTTTCCTGAATGTCTGACTTCATATATTTGGCGTACACACCACTGAACTTAATATACATAGCTGAAACGTATCATGTCCTCCGAGACAATTAATAGTACTATGGCTCATTACATTTGCGATCCAGTCAGTTGACTAACAAGTTGCTCGAAAACATATCAAAACATTGTGTTCCTACTTTCCTGTTATTATCAATTTATTTTCCTGATATTAGTGTACGATAAAAGACTTTTTTTAGTTACGCTTGTTGGTACAAACTACTGAAAGAAAAATCACAAAACGACTTTCAGCTATGTCACTTATTGTAAATTTCCGATGATGAATATAATGCCACAATTCTAAATAGCAGCTGACGACAAATATTTTCTTATTACAAACGCTAACGGTCATAAATTTTGTTATGGTCGACTATAATGTATATCTGCCTGACTATTGTTTAATTATCATCGTACCTTTTTTAATATCAAACGTAATGTAACGTCTCACATAGTGAAATTGTATGGTCCAGGTTCGATTCCTACAGAGAAGACAAGTTCCCTCATAATTACAAGTATACTGTGCTGATCAGTGTCAGGTGTGAAGCTTCTGTTTAACTAACAAATATAAAAAAGCAACTAATACCATGTCAATTTACTTTGACTTGTCGCCATATCGCAACCTGATTGATAGAATTCGACCAGTTCCAGACAAGACTAGAAAAATGATATTATTTACTATTCAGCAATAAATTAATGTACATAGGGGCTTGATTATTTTTAAATTGAAGTTAAGATTTACCAAGATTAAAATACTGTTTTTAATTAGTCACAACCAGTTAATTAGACTATACAGATTTTGTGAACTGAAGAGATGACAAATTAACTATTTGTAGTCACTTAATGTTTTTAACAGCAGAAGCTGGTTAACTGTTTTGGGTCTTATTTACTATTTACAGTTTCATAGATTTGTCAATTACAAACCTCTAGATATTGTAATGATCTCGATATATTCAAGCTACCTAGTGGTATGCACTCTTAACCTCAATCATTTAATGCACCTCAATATTCCTCTAATGTTATTGTTGGATAGAAAACCCATATTAAACATTGAAAACTTTGCGAAAAGCTTGAGCCAGCAGGTAGAAGTTTGTGCTGATGATGTCGTTCGGAAGAACGATGAAAGCTCCACGACCAAACCATCCAGCTCAGAGAACAAAACTCCATCAAAATCATCCACCTGAGCTACTAATCTTCTCCACCATTATTCAAACAATACTTATTTTCAATGATAAAACCTGTAACAACTTACCTGAGTTCACAACTACATCGCTTAAAATTTGGTTATTTAGATTACTGATTCATTTGAGTAATATGTTTTAAAGATTTGGTTGTATATTTTTTTGACTAGTTAATGAATTAAAGTATATTAAGATAGATGATCAAAGTACAATAATTCTCTCTCCTTTTTTATTCTTCCTTCCAACAAAATCTCATCTAAATTTAAACTTTGTATCTTTATTATTATCAGTGATCTATTTGACTGAACCATTTTAAGTTATCTCACTTGAACAAATTGATAGATTAGATGAAATTTAGCCGGAAAAAATGAAATATTCTCATATTTTATACGTTTTCTCTCACATGGCCACGTGCTTACAACCAATGACAGGGAAGTCCTAATCACTGCCTTTTCGCACCACGGTGTTGTTTACGAAATCGAGAGGACAAAGGGCGAATGTCCGGCGCTTTAACTATGCTGGCGAACATGGAGAGTCCACCTAGGGGAGTTGGAAAACTCTGATTCCAAACCAATGGTACACATGGGCTCGAATATCCTGAAGGAACAAATGGCGTATGAATTAATCATTGGTCACCGACCACCATGGGACTGTATCTCAGAAAGTATAAGGCTTTAGAGATTTTCAGGAGACGATCACCGAAATCTCTGAAAGACCTTTTCTTTATCTAAGCTATAAATTTCATCCTCTAATGAATACATGATCCAAGAATCTATTAAGAACAAACTGGGACATTGAACATCTCTGTGTTTATTTACTGGTCAACATGTTCCTATAGTCACAATTGATTGATCGCTGGGTAGTGATCAATGTCATGTGTGTCGAGTCCTTAGTGCAGATCGAATACTATCGACAAAGTTGCAATGTGGCCACTAGTCTAGATGACTCGACATTACTTGCACTATGTTGAGATGAGATGGTGGTTGAAGGTAGTCAACAGGAAACCGTGGACCCGGGTTTCGTGCTACTTGGCACTCGTCAGCAAGCTGTACCCGCAACCTTGAGGGAACTGGTGCTTCCTGGGTGACACGGGGTCGAATCTGTCAGGGAGAACCAGTTCCCTCAAGATTACAGGTACACCTTGTTGACGAGTGCCAAGTAGCACAAAACCCGGGTCCACGGTTTCCTGTTTACTACCTCCAACCACCATCTTATTTTCGTATAGTAAATGTCATACTGTCTACAATACATCTGTTCTAGCACGGTTTACTCAATATGAATACAAATTAATCAGTGGATATAGCGTCGAATGTCTAATTAATTCTAGTCATTTATCTCTACCAGAAATTCCATTCAAAACTATTCACAAAATCAGACAAACAGGATCCAGTTTGAACTTTATAAGAAATTTGTGCATAGTTGGGACTTTAATGTTTCATCGATTCAAGCCTTGTCTTTATATTCAAAAGTAATAGATCCAATCTTTAATTTTAACCTAGTTCTATTACCACTGTCCCACGCCCTGTATTACTTCGTAGGTTGTTTTGACACTGATTCATCTCTTCTTTATCTTCGTCAAATGAACAACTATCTTCACTATGTATATAGACTTTAAGTGGTTTAAATTATTTTTTTTCTGGTTAGCGTTTTTTTAGCGAGTTAGTTTTCCACGCGATGAGGTCGCTAACCCATACCCAACCCTCCTCATTTGTCTGGGCTTGGGACTGGCAGTAGCCCCAGAGGGGCTTCAGGCGGAGTTATAGATATATATATAATCATCTTCATAGTTCCCTACAATTATGATGTAACTTGTAATTTATTATTGAAAATATTTTGTACTTCATTTTGATAACCTTATTATTGACATAATAAACATCTATTTGATGAATAAAATGAGAAGACCAAAGGTATCAGAACTGTATAATAGATCAGTGCAATACATTTCAAACAATCTGATCACATATGTACTTGTTAAGACATTATAAATATAATATGACATAATACTGATTACCACCTACATCTTCTCATCACATTATCTAACTTAATTAATGAGTATCTTGTATTAGAGATAATCATGTATTGATATTATGGAAAAGAAACTTTTCTTCTTTATAAACTATCTTTATGTAATCAAATTTAATTAAGTATTTAAGTAATATATTAAAAACTAGGTGTTTGATTGACTAATCTACATTGAATATAGGACTAACTATTAGACATTTTAAAAATTATTTCATTATTATCAGAAGGAGTTTTTTGTGGATATTGTAGTGATTTCCATAGTTGAGATCATTAGTCGATTGAAGTTAGACTATCATGGAAAACCTGAAAGCACTGAAAAGCCGTTCCGTCCACAAAATTGAGCGACACATCCACCATTGTCTTAGGCGAATTACTATCTCACAACAGATCCGGTTAAACTCCACTGGTTACTGCTTCTCCCTAGAACTTCATAAAATACCTGTTGAGTCTAGTCAATAGTAAGCATATGTTGATTAGTATCAGAAAGTGTTTTTTGTGGATATTATAGTAATTTCAATAGTTGAGATGATGAGTCAGTTGAAGCTAGATCACCATGAAAAAGCTGGAAGCACTGGATAACCGTTCCGTCCTACTATGGGACTCCTAAGTACTGCGCATCCACGAATTCGTCTCGCGAAACTCGAATCCAGAACCTATCTGTCTCGGACGCAATCACTTAACCTCTAGACCACTGAGCCGGTATCCAATGGTATTAATGTCCTACTATGGGACTCCTCAGCAATGTGTTGCCATGACCCTGCCTAGCCGTCCAACCCTTCCAGATTTTCCATGGTAGTCTATTTATTTATTAATTATTTATTTTGACACAGATATTGGTACAAAGAGGCACCAAATACATATGCGCCACACAAATCTCATTTGACATGTGTGAAGGCTGTGATACTTCCCGGTTGCCCAAACTGAAACAGGTGGTTTTATTAGGGGGCCACCACACCCAGAGCCTTCG